ATAAGATGAATCAGTTGATGGAAAGAAAACATATAGTTGCTTATTTAAAAAATTATCCATTTTGCATACATATTTTTTTAAAACAACTTTGTATTTTCTTTCCACCACCTGAATCATCTTATTATTCTGTTCATAAATGTATCAAGGTACGATTATTAAAAGTTAATAGTTTACGAGTTATTTAACATTTTATGTCAATATGTGCCAGAATAAAGTGTAAAATATCTCGTAAACTACTGATTTTTTGATATTACTATCTTTTGTATACAGAATAATTAGAGGAATCATATTGTGTAAAAAAATTATACAATTCCATTTAAAAAAGTGGAGGTGACCTTCATATCCTTTTGACACCTCCACCTGACAAAAAAACATGACTAAAATATTAAACCCTTCACATCTTTGATTTATTTTTTAAAATATTAAAATACGTTCCTCTCGAAACCGTTCCACTCTCATTTTTTTGATACACTTTTTTATATCATTAAAAACAAGCGAGATATATATTTCAAATGGTCGATTTAAGTGGACCACTCTGTATGTATTTTAAAGTTTACGTATATAGACATATATATTTTACACTTTTTCGTAAATATGCAGGTACGCTTATTTTGTATATATTTTTAACTAGTAAAATGGAAAAATAAGAAACTCCACGTATTTTATTTCATTTTTTTTTGCATTATTCGAAGAATTTTTTTAATCCAAATATTCCAAAAAATTATGAGGGTTAATTATAAAGTTTGAAAAATGTTGTCGCGCGGTGGCGACAACAAATATTCCAACGAACATAATTTATAAATTAATGGAAATAATTAACAATCATATAATGTATGTTTCTATATGTGACAGCAGTTCATTACTCAAAAGTCAAAATGTTTTTAATGTCTCTATAACAATGCTGCAAGATTAGTAAAATCTTGCGCCGTCATATGTGTATTATAGGTATATTACAATATAATTCTTGATATTTAAAACGTTGCAGAGATATTACAGCGCAGTCTGCAATGTTGCAACGTTTTTGCAATGATACTGCAAGTTTTTGTGCTTTATGGGTTTTTAAGCGATTATAAGTATAAAATAATAAAGAATAAAAAAAAATGTATTCCAATATTATTTGGACAAGTGTCAATTCTTTTGTCAATAGATGATAACGAAGAGGACTATGATCCTCTCATAGTGAAAATACTAAAATATGCATGTTATACGTATAAACACGTTTACTAACTATTTTTTATTCTTAGGTTCGTTCATTGCATTTACTTTTGGCCATAAACTGTAATTTTGTTGTCCTATCTCGATGGACGAAGCGCTTGTGAGCAATATCTACTATCTATGACATCACGATGACGTCACGATGACGGTATAAGTGTTTCTCTGCCTTTTTCTGAGGCACTTACAACAACAAAAATGGTGTAAGCGATGTTTATCAGTGCTTAAAACGCGTAAGCGTCAAAAGTAAATGTATCTTATGTGTCTTGGACAACACAATTTTATGTTCCGAAATTTACTGCCAATACTGAAAATTTATAGTATACATTACGTGCGCATTACAGATTTTCAGTACCTACTGGTAACGAATATCAGAACCTTTGTTCAAAAATTTATTCACCTTTAAACCCAACTTCGGGGGCTCACTTCACAAGCAAAAGGTTGCGCTTATAATTTTATTAATATTCTTTCTCAGGTGATTCTTATACTTACGAATTGATACATCTCCGCCATGACCATCTGTTGGCGTAGATACATTTTAAAAAGTGCCCACGACCCATATATAATGCTATTCCTAATCGAAAACTGAGTCTAAAATTTATGAATTATTTTACAATTTTTGCAATTATTTTTAGTTATTCCCCATAAATAGAATTGTCTAAAATCAACGTATAAGACTTCAAGAAATTTTTAAGAATACATCTTTAAGATATTTCACAAAGAACACTGAAAAATATCTTGAAATTGTCTTATTCGTCGATTTTATCCGCTTATTCGACAATCTTTAGAAACTAATATTTTAGCAATCGCAAAAATTGCAAAATGGCCATAAGTTCTAGGCTCAAGTTTTGATCAGGAATAGCACTATAAATCACGGGTATTTTTTAAGATACATCCTGTACACAATGGTGTTTATAATATACCCTATCATGAACATTTGATACGTGAAAACATTCTGTGAAAATTCTTTTACAGTTCCAAAATATTCGGCACATTGGGAATACAAATCGGACTTTTCATGATTAACGTTAGCTGAAATTTTACAACAATAATTTTACAACTATAAAGTTACTTTTTCTGCTGAGCCAATGTCTTATTACATAATGTTAATAAATTTTCTACATTTGAAAACTGAACAAAGTTTACGTGAAAATGCATTCATTCACTCGACAATTAATCGCGTTACATTTATGTAACGTATTACGATTTGAAAGAAATAATTCAGAAACAAAATAAGAAATCGCGTGTTAATCCGGTGAATAAGCAATATCTCACGGTGTTAAATGCTGTACATATAAGATATGTAAATATCACGAGATAGTTATAATCATTGTCTTCATTATCTTCCCGTTTGTTTAGCGAACAAATTACATACAGTGCACACACTGTACACCATATGACCGATGATATGTCGACAATCGGGCAACCACAAATTGCAAGTCGTATCGCACACATTACCTTACTCGATTGTTATCTCAATTTCTGGCGTTGTGCAATCGGCAAACAATACAATAGCCAAGCAGTTACATTACGCCTCCATCGTTCACCGACGTTGCATTGTTAAGCGTAGCCAATTACGTTAATTTTCCAGAATTCTAGCAGCAATATCTCATCCCAATGTTAACGCATGAATTTTAACGAGCGTGACACTTGACGTTGCACGCGCATCGATTAATTCTTTATTAGACATAATACGCCGCATAACGCATTTGTTTAGCTAAGGAATTAATTAAATTGCTCGAAACGCTGTGTATGTGTGTGTGTTGCTAATAAATTAATAAAAGAGAAAGAGGAAAACATTCGGATCATTTCTCTTGATTTGCACGATCGATCATTCTTACGTAATGTATACCGTTAGTAAACGTATTGTTCTTGATACAAATATTTCAATAGAGCGAGAACCTAAAAAAATTTCGTCTCTGATCATGTTTTGTGTCAATCTCACTTAATTTGTCCTCGCCTTATGGAAATTTCTATTATGCCACCATCCATCGTGTGAAACACTTGTGAAATCGAGTGCCAATCTCGATGAAATTCCTGTCTTTAATGTTGTCGCGTGCAAATTGAGATAAAACATTTCGATATTTTCTCGGAAGCTGTAATTAGTGTAAAAACAAAAATATTATTAAATGTTTACTTAAACACTTTTTATTTAATCTATATGAAAGTATCCCGCAAAACTGGCACGCAACATTAATATTTTATGACATTATCTTATCATAATTACCTACTACGTTTTCCATATGTATAAGCATTCCATGCATTTTTTACGTGCATTTTCTGTTTTTTACTTTTTTTCAGAAACTACATTGTTTTAAAACTGTTTCTTTTCTGTGAATATGAAAGACACAATACGAGCCATAAGGAACTAATATCAGCCTCTCATTGAACTGAATCTGACGCTCAAAGGATGTCGTTCTCTCTGTTACATATTGATAAAAACAGGATGTTATTAATCTTTCAATAGCCAATTTAGGAAATGAGATCGCGAATTGTATAACAAATCTGCCGCAGATTACAGTCGCTGGATCGGATTACGTGTCGGAGAAACCACAGAGAATAATTTCACGAAACGGAAGTTGGGGGATACCGAAAAGCGCGCCGGCAGAAAAGTACCGTAAGTTATTCATCACATATCGCTGGATATATACAAGAGATTACCGCCTGCACTGGTCAAACGGACTGCTAAATGCTAAATAACATGCAAATACTAACAAAACTGTTCGATACTAAACTCGCGCAAAATTGCACTCATGAAACATACATCTACAAAGCGTTTTATACCGTACGATTTGCTTAAACGAAAATTTTGTCTAATTGCTAAAGTTTTAAACTAAAGTTAACAATTTCATTTTTCTTAAATTTATTCATTGAACGACAGGAATCTACGAAAATTATTATTACTAAAATATAATAAAAATATTGCAATATTTTAAATATTATTGTAAAAATGCGTATCCTTAGATGGAATTAAAAAGATTATTCGTTTTCTTTTTCCTTAATAAATAATATAGATAATTACAATACAATTACTCGCAAAAAATTGATCAAATATTGTTAAAATTTTGAAGAAGCATTTAATGCAACATGGAGAGAAAAAATGAGGATGAGCGCAGATATGCAAAATACAGACTTTCAAAACTTGCATATATTATCAGAATAATATAAATAATATATTTTCAAGATAATAAGCTCCTAAATAACTGTCTGATGCAATTCTCAAGACATATTCGATCAACTTTGCGAATCACTGTACACAACACAAATAGTAGTGCCACTTTCTAGCGGTTTTCCAGCTAGATGTAGCGTTTTTTAGAGGTTGTCTAGCTGCAAAATTTAAGAAAAAAAAAAAATCCCGTCAGAATTATCACTAGCCGCATTTCTTAAATTTTGCAGCTAGACAACCTCTAAAAAACGCTAGATCTACTGGAAAACCGCTAAATTTGCATCACTGAAAAAACGCTAGATCTACTGGAAAATCGCTAAATTGGCATCACTGAACACAAAGGAGTCATTTGAATAATCAACATGATTTGCCAATTTGATTATTAAGAGCGGACTTTTGTATACCAGTTGTTTTTAATTCGTCTATTTTTTTGCCTAGTTTTCGAGGTCACATCTCAACAAAGTGATTATTCGTCGTGCTGATTTTGTAGATCATCATGAAACAAATCGTTCTTCCCTCCCCGCTGTTGACTCAACTATACGGAGTCAATCGCACGTCGCGAAATAGAAGCGGCTCTTATTTAACATGGTCGACTGAGCCGGCAGTACTCAGTCTACCACCGACCGTAATAGAAGTTTCGCATTACCCCGCTGATTCTTCGACGAATCGGCGAGTCGTTGACAGTGCCGTGGGATTTCATGGTGTACTCTGACGGGGTGAATGATCATGGTGTTTTTGATCGTTTATCTTGGCCTCCTGTTCCTACCAGGTGAGACTCCGCTGAATATATCTAGAATAGTTTCTTTGATGATGCAAAGAAATCTTACATCCTTCGTCCTTTGGACTTTTCGAAGACGTTATTTTAAATGGTCGTTCTCAATTATTCCAACATTTTTTGTTTTGTGGAATAAAAATATTATTTATTCGGTTGATTATTTTGGTGAACTTGAATATTCCCAGGTAGTAGAGTGACGTTAAAAGATGACATCATTTATAATAACATTTATTTTAGTCAAGTGAACGTCGTTCTATCGTCATTTTGCTGTCTGGTTGTAATATTATGTAATATTAAAATGTAATATTAAAATACAAATATATTATTATATCGTTTGTTTAAACAGATTTTAGAAACAAGTTATTATGATATTTAACATTTTAATTATTTTAATCATTTATACAGAATAATTAAAATATAAAACTATTAAACATAAAATTGTGGTTTTTCGTAGACGTATAAAATATTAAATTCTTGTTAAAAATAGAAAAATATTATAGGAAAATACGTCTGCTTGATTGAGTTATAATGCCCATTTGCTTGTAACAAAGAAAATAACAAAATTATCCGATGTTTCTAGCAATAAACTTATCATATAAATCTTGCGATTGAAGATAAATTGCGTCTCGATGACAATCGATTATAGTTTAACTTACAAACTATTATTCGTTATGCTGCAAGCGTAATTTTATTTAATGATAAACGATAAAATTATCTATTTTTATTTTTAAGTATACGATACAAAATAATGAAGCTAAGCGATAAAAATAGTATAGTAATATATATGTACAGTATATTAATAGCAAATTTGGCTGGACGCACTTAGTGCGCACTAGTGCACATTAAAACCGTTATACACTGATTTGAATGTGAAAATGGAATAAAAATTTTATAAATAAAATATTTTATATAACAGCACAATAAAATGTATTGAGAATTTCACAGTTTAACCGACTTCTATATATTTATATTAAACATATACATCGTTAATCAATGTCAGTTGTGTATGACATCAATTTGTATATGACAGTTTTAATGGGCACCAGTTCGCATCCAATCGAATTCGTTATAAGATTGAAATTATAATAACTTTAGTACATATATTGCGATGTGCAAATTAATATATGCAGTATTAAAATTAATATATGCAGTATTAAAATGCATTATTGATAGAACATGTAAGGAATACGCGAGTTGCAATTAACACTATCGATTATAATCAATAATGATTTTGCTAAATATGTACTGTTGGAAAATTCATGTTAAATTTAATATATTTCACATATCTCAAACAGTTCACTTAAATTTATGTGTTAATTTAACATAAAATGAATATGCTACAAGATTACATAAATATTATGTAAAAGAATAAATACAAATAGTAATGACACAGTCTGTAAACAAACCGTGGAAGCATATTTTGTCCAATGAAATTAACATTTATGATACGTTAAACTATATATTTTATTAATTTATTTTAAAATTTACGTTTTTTAATTTAAAACACATTATTTTTATGTTATTAGTTCACTTATTCATAAATTGTGTTATTTAATATTTTGATATTAGAAATGTTAAGTATCAATTTAACACAAGCTATTTAAATAACATAATTACATTATGTTCAATTAACACTCGAATATGTTAAAAACTTAATACTAAATTTTAACAAGGAGTTGCTAAAATCTGAGTGAATCTTTTCTAACACATATATGAAATGTATTTTTGCTATACAACAGAGATCAATAAAAAAGTATGTTTGAGGTGATTTGCCAAGTATTGATTTCGCAAGTTCCTAACGCAATATTTCAATTTAGTATGAATATTATGTCAAACAATAAAACAATCGTTATAACTAACGATACAAATAATGTTCATCATGCAAAAATGATGAACGCAATAATACTTCTTCTCGTGACATTCGTTAAATTAAATTATCATAAATAAATGTAGTTGTTTATATCTAATCATCTGATCAGCAATTTTACACATTAAATGCAAAGAACGTTTCCATTTCAACATTCATCAACACAGATTATGTACCTATTATTCCGTTCAAAGCAGACAAAATTGGATTTTTATCTAAAGCGACAGATTTTTTATCCATTGTGCACGTGAAGTGGATATTAATTAAACCTCTTGAGCTAAATTAATGTCTCATATTTTCTTAGTAAATCGCCTGATAAAAGTAACACATATGCGAATAGTATTATCATTTTATATCAGTTTTATTTGTGTGTCTACGTACGTATAGTTTCTGCTATCATTATAATGCACGTCGTCTGTACGACTAATCAGTAGTAATTAAGGAAAGAACCTAGAACTTGAAAATTGCATAAGACCTAACTCATCATACTGTAATACGAGCACAAAACATTGCTATCATTTTCCGAACCTGTTTGCAGTCGTAAAAATGGAAATTCACCATGCGACCCTAAGAGATAATATTTGATGGATTGACAAGTAGCATGTTAAGAAGCATTTAAAAAAAGAATTCGTTTTATCAAGTATAGAAATTGTCGAGTAAGTTGATGTTCTGCACACTTCGAAGTTTGATTAGATTAAAGCGTAATCGAATAATTCATTTAATATATAGAACGAAACGCGCATTTAAGTTTAAAAGAGAAACTTTAATGATATTAATGAAGGTATATCTCATATGCATTTTGCAAATGTACGATTCGCATTATTCTGTCAGAATGTCACAAACGTAACATAACTTTGAAACAATTCATGTAGCCACGCGATATCGATTTGTGCAATTTTGTTATACAAGATTGATGAATCGTAATCGCGTCTATACGAATGTTCAGCTTTTTCAAAATTAAATATATTTTAATTTATTATTAGAACGGCTCTTGTTAGCTTTTTTAAATTAAATTAATTCGATGATTCTCTCGTTTCTTTTTACTTTAATACACATTATTATTATTATTATTATTAAAATGTTTCGATCGCAGTGATTATTATAATGGATTCCGTAAAATCTTTTCATCGAAAAATATTTCGAAATTTCGCATTATTTTAGATATCTCGGACTTATGCTTCTTTTGCATGTATCTCACGTATAATCATATACATAACAATAAAGATTTTGCGTAATGGAAGGACGCCGAGGATGTTCATCATTCTTAAGATAATCACTTTAAATCAGACAAGGATTTCCAGACGGTGTCACGTCGACGGTCCTCACGTGATCGTTTGAACTAAAAAACGAAAGTAATAGTCTTAAGTAATCCATCTCTCGTCGCATGTGTCGAGCAGATGTGAAGAACCTTAAAGTAACCAGGTGGCGACTTGCCCGAACAAGTAGCGGCAGGAAAGAATTACAAGTATACTCGTTAACAGATAATCAAGAAGCATTCTAGCGCATAATAAACGCAGGGTAACAGCCAATTGTCTTTCGAGAGACAGAAAACTTTAAATGTGTACTTTCAAGTTCGGCGAAAATCTTTCGGCGCATTTAATGACCGATCCGTTAGAAAGCGTGGTAATAATATCTAGACTGATAATAAGTAGAAAATATTAATATATTTCTTATAAACATTTCATGGAAATTTTATGTCTAATAGAAACTAAAATGGAAGATATTTTCCTAGCTAATTTCGGATGTAAAATTCTACTATAAGAGTTAATCTATTTATAGAAATTCTATTCTCTAAATATTCTCTAAATATTTTGGAATATGAAAATGGAGCCAATCTTGAAAAAAAAGTAAAAACTTATCGTTCTTGAATAAGAGTGACAAATTTTCACTCTTTTGGAATGATATTAACTGCAAAGGAATGAACTCTCACACTCCTTTTTTGGAATTAGACTTCATTCCTTAAGGAATTCCTCCAGATGATTTAACAAACGTGACAACATGAATAAATATCATACACATACATGACGTACGTAATTATCCACATTGAATGTAGAGCAATATTTAGCGAATATGTGCGAAGTTGGCGTATACGTTGGCCATAACTTTAGAGGTGTTTACCAAAAAAAAATTAAATCTCATTCCTAAAGAGTAAAACTCTGCTACTCTTGTCCAAGAATGAAAATATTTCCTCTCTTTTATTAAGACTGGTTCAATTTTCGGTCTTTTGGATAGAGATTTTACTTCGAAATATTTAGAGAATAGTTCGAAAAAAATATTATATTATATTAACAGGTATTATTTTAGTTGAACACAATTTTGTTAATTCAATAACATTATTAATGTTCATGCTTTTGTTTCAATAAAATTTTATTTGTATCATTAAATATTATTGAATTAACCAAATCATTTTCAACTAACATAACATTTGTTAATATAATATCATTTATATTTTCTAGATGTGATATTATTATAATGTATTTATATATACATAATGTATATATATATATATATATATATATATATATATGAGTATCGCATTACTTGCAAATTTTTTTCTTTAATGACAAGGAAAGCATGTCTACTTTGGATTTTCATTACTCGTGGAGTTTCAGAAAATCGTTTTGCAATAAACTCTTGAGTTTTCATGTGTTTCTTTTTGCTATAATAAAAAAATTCGATATTGTTAAATTAATTTTATAAGTTATACTTATCGTTTAACTTGCAAGTAATGCGATACTCTGATGCTATTGAACCAATGGTCGCTATAAAATATTAGACTCGACATAAACAACAATTATAAACTATGACACTTTAAGTTTTATGTACTGATTCCAAATCTGCTATGTTGAACTTCATAATTCTATCTCTAGGTTCGTAATCATTTATAGTAATCATTTTCAACCGATTCGTCAAGTTTTTGCATTTAAATCGACGATGTTGTAAGAATATTTGTGATTATCGCACAAATGTGCGAATATTTTGAGACCTTAAATGTTTTTTTTCGTTGCGTCAAATTTTGGAAGGAGAGGTGACCCACTTGACGCGAAACGTCCCATATATAATATATATATATTTTATATATATATATACTCATCTTTAATCAAATAAATTATCATTCATTATCGCAATCTAAAATCTATTCTATCAATATCGTTTATCATTACTCAGCCATTTTCCTATTTATAAGATTTACTTTAATATGCGAATTGTAAGTACAATAAACGCTTCATCTTCTTCAGGTTTCTGCCGTGGTCAAGACTTCGGTTATGACGGAGATCAAGGTGAGCCTAACAAAAAAGTTTCATTATGCGAAGTTCATCGGTGTGTTTCAAAATGAGATCAATCTTATTTCCGTAGGTCCAGCGAATTGGAGCAAGGAGTATCATACGTGTATTGGGAAACATCAGTCCCCTATTAACATAGACGAGCACAATGTCACGAACGTCAACCTGTCACCACTGAGATTAATCGGCATTGACAATCCACATCAGTCATACGTGACGAACACCGGTCACACGGGTAAGAATTTCACGGTTCGATTCTGCATTCGGCATGCTGAGAAAGAAACATTGAATTTGTTCTTCGTTTAGCTTGAGGTTTTCTCGTATTAAATAATTCCACCGATAAACTCCCTTCACGATCGTGTTCACGAGGATTAAAGTCAAGAAAAACATTGTTGTAGCGATATAATCGGGACGATAAAATAAGAAAGAGAGGAAAAAGAGAAAAGTTTGTACCTTGTAATTATTGTCTCTGGTGTATATTAGTAGTAAATGATATGAATGTTGAATAGAAGTAACTAAAACGGTCATTGTCAGACAAAACGCTTACAAATGATTCGTACGTGTCCCAGCAGTTAAATCATACTATAAATAATCTTAATTATGTTGATACGTAATCGAGTCCACGATCATGATATGCAGACAGGATCATCAACAATTAAATTTAATACACCGTGCAGGTGTTGTTACATAACAAAGAAGTCTGTAATAATCGCAGTTGCACACTAATATTTTTAATAATTGCTGTTATGTGCAATTTTTATTTTCTTCCATGCAGTTACATTGAAAACCAACGAATCTAAAGCAGTCATGTTGACCGGAGGACCCTTAAAGGATATCTACGTGTTTGAACAATTGCATTTTCATTGGGGCGAAAACGATTTCGAGGGATCCGAAGACTTAATCAACAATCACTCGTTTCCGATGGAAATGCACGCCGTCTTTTACAAGGAAGATTACAAATCATTCAAAGAAGCTCTTAATTACAGTGATGGTCTGGCTATTTTAGCATATTTGTATGAGGTAAGAAATTATCTTTATTTGAAAATTTTAATTGGTATTCTTATACGAAATTAAAATTAATCTTTTTTTATCATTGTAATTTTACAATTTTACATACCTATCTTATTTTTAATAATGAAATCACGTAGGTAAGCCCTCAACCGAATCCAACGTATGAACCGATTGTAAAAGTACTACCTGACATAGAAAAGAAGGACATGGGAAAAGTATTGCAAGAACCTTTACTATTGGAAAGTATATTGGTACCAGACATTGCAAAAATGCAAGACTACTTCACGTATTCCGGCTCATTAACTACTCCACCTTGTCTCGAGGTCGCTAAGTGGATTGACTTTAAGGATCATCAACAATTATCACACGACCAGGTCTCTTAACACAATTTGCAAATACTATAATTTCTTTTAATCTGTGTTAAAAAATTGTCAATTAGTTTTAAATTATGTACATATACAGTGAGAGCAAAAAGTATTCGTACAAGGAAATTTTTTATTAAAAAAATCTTATTTGTAGAAAATAAACATGAATTAGCAATTTTATACAATGAATACTCTGTTCTAACATAAACAACCGAGCTTCATATATATTTCTGATTTTAGAAGCTAAATTTCTTGACTGCATGAATACTTTTTGATCATCCAAACAATACAATTTTTTATTTTCGTTTATTTTTCAGATGATATATTTTCTATGATTAATACACATCTTTTTGGTATATATAATTTTAAGAAACAGTCTATTTTATTCTTTATGAATAAATTGTTAATTATCCATCAAGAAAGGATCGTCAATTAAACGTCGAATCGACATTAAATTAGTGTTGAGATATTCATTCGACATCAATTCGATGATTCATTTCTTGCTGGATAATGTTTACTTTCTAAAAATAAATTTTTTTAAAAAACATTTTCTCTGTACGAATACTTTTTGCACTCACTGTACGTATGTCTGCCAATTTGACACACACACACAAAGTATATACATAGATTTCTTTTTTAATTTCAGTTGGCTGCATTTCGTGACATACGCAATTGGGAAGGTAATAAATTGACTCACAATTTCCGGCCGGTGCAGCCTTTAGAGGACCGAGAAGTTCTTCATAACATTCCTAGTTCTCATAATTCTGATGGGCATTCGGGACAACGGAGTGTTAAAATACCAATTCTATTTGTCGCATTGGGAGCTCTTGTGGCAATCTTTTTATTTGCCATATGAAATTCTTAATATGAAATATTCTAGTCAGAGTTTTTCAATTGTCATCATAACTTTCAAATTAAGAAAATGACAAATTAGGTACATACAAAATGTAACTACAGTTCACGTTTATAACACTTATGTGAGCATCATTGTTCAATTTTGATAAACATCAAGGATGAAATAATATTGAGCATTGTGAGCGTGAATCGAACCGCAGCCTTGTTTAGTAATTATTACTAAACAAAAAAGAATCAGATTTAATTTTATAATATTGTTTGAAAGTTAAGATTTAACTGAATAAACTTGAAGCAAACTTTCATGACTTTACATAATCATAATAATTCATTTAAGATTACAATAGAATGTATCTTATGTGATACGGTTTTTTAAATTTGTATAATTTATTTGTTAACATTAATACATCGACATAAGCAAGAGAACATTCACAGCAACTAAAATATTATTTTATGTATATAAGACAATTGTGATATATAAATAAAATAACATATAAAACAATTGCTAAAATAAAATGTTTGCATTAATTCTCTGCCGGCAATTGGAATTTTTAAAGTAGGGTTGCGCGTCTACATATATAAAAAATATAATAATTTACATCCACATATATAATGTATAGATCTTTGAAGCCTATGTTTTTTGCCGTATCAGATTACATTAAAGCATCTACCTCATTTATATATTTTCATCAATACTAAAATCAAATAGAAGTATTAATCAAAATTTAATTTTTTCTTTCTAGACTGTATTACCCAATTTATAATAATTTATATATTTTAAATTGTTTATTGACTACATGAAAAAGATTCATGTAAACTTGGCTAACGTCAATAATAAGTAAAAATTTCTTGTAAACTTAATATTAAAAAATATAACACTGAATCTCTCTCTTGCTTTAAAGCCATTGATATTTTGATTGTGAATTTTGGTAGACAAATTTAACTCTGTAAAAAATAAATAAAATACAATTCGATTTCTATGATGGTAAAAACTCATTGTTAAATTAAAGGTTTGACAAATATACCAAAATTTTTGTTCAGATTTTCATACAATCTGGACCAATAAAAATGAGTTAAGATTTGGGATGAGTTAAGATTTTTAACGAATTTATGTCATATTTTGTGAGCGAGTTCAAGCAAGTGATTATTTAATTCATAAGGAGTTATATAAATTATTTAAATACTCCATGTGTTACACATAAGAAATAACAATGAATTATAAATAGACTATTGAATATATGTTCTATAAATAAGAAAATACACAATTTATTACAAAATATACATGTTTTTTATAACAATACTATCATTCTTTATGATTATTTACATAAGCTGCTAGATCTTGTTGGCCTCGTTTGAGACGTGCCCTTACTTCTTCCGCTATTGCTTTTTGCGTTCTCCTTTCTAATATTTCTAATTTTTTGGCTATATCTCGTTTTAAATCCCAATCAGGCTTTCTTGGTGCTAAATTACTTATATCCTAGTAAATAATAAAGAATCAATTCTAAGAAATCGTAGAATCATAGAATACTCCAATAATATGATATAGCCATATCGAGAAAATACATGTTTGATACAAAAGCTTTAAAAATCATCTTTGATCTGATGAATTATTTTTAACAATTCCAAATCAATTTTTAATAAAAATATCGAAGGATTGTTTTGTCATCAGTAGGTAAGAAGTGGTAGAAGGCTATATGCTGTAGAATATTTCCCTCCAACTTACCAGTTCCTCGATAACCACTTTACTGTTTGCAGCGTCCAGCTGTTCTTGAACTACAGATTCCACATCTCCTGGCTTCGCATCCTCTATCATATTATCCTTCAAGTTTTCATCCTGCGGTTTGTAACTCCGAAATTTTGGCCTGAAAACACAAGACTTTGAGCAATTCAGCAATGATATGAGGTTAGATTTAAAGCTGTATTACTAAAATAAGGTTTACTTTGGCAAGTCTTCAGTCGTGTCGGTCACACTTTCTTTGCCCTCTTCATTCTTTCTCTTGAGCGCCTGAAGCCGTTCTTTTCTCTTTAAAGCCTGCTCCTCTAACGAGCCAATTTTCTCCTCCGTCATTTTTAAACAAATAAAATTATAATCTACACTATCTACAGATGACACTTCGGTAGTGACTGTAGTGACACTAGTGACTCTAGGGTAAAAAGTCTGGACAACTGTTGGGAATCCGTATTCCTAGGGGAATCGAATTTTTCGCGCGTACGCGGCGAATTTGATTTGAATAAAGAATGCTGAGTTATTTGAAAAAAAAAAGGTTTTCAAATAATATTTAAATAGAAAGTATATATTTTTATATAAAATATTATTAAGTATATATTTCATTCAAAACAGAAATTGTAAAAAATAGAAACATTTATTACAAAAGTAAGGAAAACTGTTCAAAATATTTATACATACATTTATGTAAATGTATTTATTTAATTGTTAAATTAAATAATTATAACAGAATTTATTTAAAAGTAATAATGGTCGAAATAATTATTGACAATAATCGACTTTGTATTTAGAAATACAATATGTGTTCACAAATGTTATCAATATTAATGATGTTAACGTAAAGTTTGTACCAACTTTTGATAATAAGTTGTACAAACTTATTAGAATTAATTATTTTGGACATTTTTTTGAAATTAATTTATGTTCTCGGAAAAAAATGTTTCACATAATTATATATAATTATATAAAAATTAACATATTTTATATAGAGGAAAGCCCCCTATTATGAGATAGGCGCCTAATATGACATAGCGGCGTTTCTGCTAAACTAATAAACGCTATTTATTGGTTCCAACATAAATTTATTACTCTTAGATTGAAAACTATTTAGTAGAAAATTCATTATTAGATCATGTCTGTAGTCATTGTAAAAAAGATTTTAGAATTTGAATGTCTTCAAGTTTCATTGAGATGAGGCTTTAAATCTTGTTTATTATTTAGTAAATAAATATTTGGCAATAAATTCTTCATGTAGTGATAAAGTAAGGTCGTACTAATAGAAAAATACGGGATATGTTGAATTGTTTAATTATAGAAGTTAGATTTGATGATCGTAAAACCATAAGGTGTGGAAATATGAGATACCCAGGGTATTTCTAATATGAAATAACCCATGCTCCTATGTTATAGTGGAAATCGTTGCTAAAGAGTAAATGTTATTGTACAATAATAAAAAGAACAATCGGAATGAACATCGAGTGCCTATTTCTGCGATGCTTGATTCCAACTACCTGAAGACGAGTTCTGGGTATAATCTATCGCATGCTCATTTTTCACGTACGCTGGATGTGTTCGTTTGCATTTTAGAAACATGAAATAAAGTTTTTTAATTGCAATACTGATACATTTTGCGTTTTACTATCGATTTCTCAGGGTATCTCATATTAGGAGTACAATTTTTTTACTTTGCGATTTGCTCACTTTTTACATTTCTTTAATTTAAAAAAAAAATGGAATTTGAATTAAATTTCATATAACATTATCTTAAAGCTTATTAAATTCCCTTTAATAATAAAAAGGACAATCGGAATGAACGTCGAGTGCCTATTTCTGCGATGCTTGATTCCAACTGCCTGAAGACAAGTTCTAAGTATAATCTATCACATGCTTATTTTTCACGTACGCTGACTGTGTTTGTTTGCATTTTAGAAACATGAAATAAAATTTTTTAATTGCAATACTGATATACTTTGCGTTTTACTATCGATTTCTCGGGGCATCTCATATTAGGAGCACAATTTTTTGACTGTGTAATTTGCTCACTTTTTACATTTCTTTAATTTAAAAAAAAATGGGATTTAAATTAAATTTTATGTAACGTTATCTTAAAGCTTATTAAATTCCCTTCAAAATGACCTATTATTTTTTTAAATTCTGCCCATAGACTTCTAGCATTTATCTAAAATGAACTCAGTATCTCATAATAGGGGCCTTTCCTTTACAATTATATATAATTATATATAAAATATGTCCATTTAACATGTCCACATAACATTTTTTTTCGAGTTGTGAATTTGCGATTCTCTCATATCTTTTCGATATCTCGCCCAATAAAAAGAGAAAGGGAGAGATCATTATTCTCTCATTATTGCAATTTTAAGGTCAATATGGTTTTTTACAAAATTTTAATACGCAAAATTCATAAGAAATATATATTTTAATATTAATATAATTTTTATAATTAAAATTTTTCTAACATATATATTTATATGTTTTGATAAAGTTTTTATATTTTTACAATTTTTAATTTACGAAATAAAACGACCGCTAATTTTAAACAAATTAGTTTATTAACATTTATACACAAGAATTCGTACAATCCAGCATCAGATAAATTATAAGCAAATTATATCGAGATTACATCTAACGCTATCTTATACTTTATTTTAATGTTATTTTAATTTTAATGTTACATTCAGTCGCGCAAGCCGCAGCTAGCGCTTGTAAAGGACTCGCATTTATGAACGAATCACCATCAACTTTCGCTCACGCAGTCACTCTCGCCGAAGGTGCATCGCATCCAACATCAATTTCAGTTTCGAGACAAAGCTTAAATCTTTAATCAAGGCGGATTTATCGTTACTCAGCGCAATACTAAAGATTTATGTAGCGTTACCTGTAATAACGCTTGAATCAAATCGAACTAATAAATAGCGTTGCGGAAATGATTTATGCAGACGTTATCAGATTTGTTACAGAGAGAATTTAGGAGAAAGAGAATAGCAAAATGCATTCTTTCCAACACGATCAAAAAAAAAATGCATATCATGCAGGAGATAACGAGAAACATTCTAATGGTCTTTTCATTTGGTGATTATAATGATACCGAAAAGATGTGATACTTGATAAATGAATGTGATTATACTTATAAGTTTAAGTAAACTTTTAGTAAGACAAGAGAGATGCCGATGTCCCACGAGATTCGCCGATTCGCCCGCCGGGTGAAATCACGGATCTGTGCCAAACGTTTGTGAAATTGAGGACATACACGTATATACACGCGAGAGATGTGTCTCTCGCGTCGGCGGCTTCCTCGTCGGCATTGTGTGGTACCCGCCGGGGAAAGTTTATTTACAGTCGAAGAAGCATTTTCAATCCCGATGCGCGGCTCGATGCACGACTTCACGAGACCCCTGATCCTGAACGAGCTCTCCGTGTGTACCTTTGTATGCATGTATGTGTGCGTTTTGTTAAAATTAATTCGAACGATATACACACAGGCTATATTGTAAAACGTCAGCGCTAATCAATAGAGTTTTGATCTTTGATGAACTTGGATTTGGCCTTTTCTCCATGGAAATTTGACTGAGAAAGTAACTACACGAATTAATTACACAGTTGGAAAATTTATGTTCAATTTAACACATCTTACGTGTGTCTCCCAAACGGTCTACTCTTTTTGTGTTAATTTAACAT